CATTCGGATTACGCACGATACAGATTACATCTGCGCTGAAAAGTCCATGGCTCTATTCACGATACGCATTGGATTGCTTAGAACAAGAATTGATGGAGGCATGACTCGTCCGAAAACATTCGGATCAACATATTGCTAATCGATTTATCTTGAATCAAACACAGACCTGCTTTTAGAATGTGATTTATACCACGTAATAGCTTGCAGGAACACCCTGTGTGTAACAACGCCGCTATGCAAGTACAGGATCCTGATCAATCACCGGTGAGATCCACTCCATGCCCATCCTTCGCCACTCGAATAGATCCCCGGAAACGGCGCGTGATAACCCAAGGTGCATGTTATGTATGTTGAAACGGCTCACCAACTTTATACGAATTTGAATGCAAACATAGGACTTGGATTTGCCGGTTGGAGACTCGGTATTGACAAGTTTGATGTCTTGAATTAGCCGACTGAAGACGCCGGGCTCGCCGACTGGAGACGCGGGACTAGCCGGTCTGCGAATTGTGCGTGATGGGCCGCGGAGCGCACGCTCGTTGTGGCCGCAGTGGCCACAGTGGCCCTAGTGCAAAGCAGGACACGTGTTGCGGCATATGGCGGGAGTCAACCAAGAGCGATGTTTGACGGCACCCGAATATGGCCCGAGGCGTGTAGTGGACCCGCGCGTAGGACTGTGATCTCAAACATAAGTAACAAAGCCTCTTGCACCCATTGTGGGCCCCTGAGAGGGGGCATTCCTCTGTTTCGGCCGGACATGACCAACACCGAGCAGTCGACTCCGTGTCCGTCTGAGCTTTAAGGACCATTTCCCAAGCAGGGACCAGACCGAGCCCGCGATATACATTGGTCGCGGCCGCTGTAATAACTCGGGGTCCTATATCGTTCAGGAGTCTGCAGTACCGGACAACGTGTTCCGTGTCAATAAGGAGCCTCGAGTCGGTCAGAGAAACATGTGCTCAATAATGACGGGACGGGACACCGAAAGGCAGGGACCTCCTAAGTTGGACGTGGCCCCCTGACAGTGAAAGGGAATGTGGCAACCTATGAAGATTGTGTACATTCAGGAAATGGAAGAAACTTGTGCCAGTCAAGGTCCTAAGTACCGAACGGTGGGCCCGCATCCCAACACCAGCTTGAGCCCGCCAAGTCGAGCTGGGTCTATATGTCAATTATCGTACCACCTGCGGCGATCAGAAATGCTGTTGCGTCAGTGGGGGTTCCTGAGTAAAGTCTGGGTCAACTGCGGTCTTCGCGGGTCAGAAGGCCACTTGCGTCATGGAGGGGACCAATGTTGTTTGATGTATCTCTCAACGGCCTGTGGATTGGACATGGGATCCCGCTCTGTGTCGCCAGAATGGCAGCCGGAAGACAACCTGCGGTGGAGCGGATTTACCATGTAGCCCTTGCCCGGGAACAATTATGTGCCTCCTAGTGCTCTTCTCATAGGGGGCCCATTCCCAAAAAGAAAAAAAGGGTTTGATGGGGGGGGGGCGGGAAAGGGTGTCGAAAAGAGTTGAAAACAAAAGGTCATCGCATGTTGGCCTGAGAACGTTCAAGAATCGACTTGTAAAACAACATCTGAAAAGTTTTCAGCCTTCGCGTCCGCAGTCTCGGAAGCAAGAAGAGTGATAGCCGGGTTGCAGTTGCCGCGAACTCGAACGGTGTTGGCCACTGCAAGTGGCACCGGGCGGCGAGTGCCGTTCGCGCGAGAGCGACCGTCCTCGAATAATACTCAGAAATCTTAAATAATCTTCAGTAATCTTAAACAATCTTAATACTCTGAACGTCTCAGAAAATTAAGTCGCATCATTTAATCATTAGGCTGAGTGAATCTTTTTTCTACAATTTTGAGGTTGTCTTCTGGACAGATGAACAGCTTCAGCAACACGAAAAGCAGAAAACAGAGATTCGAATTTACAGTGCAAGGTTGCGGGCTGATGTTGGTTGTGTTCACGCTGTGAGAAGCAGGCTGGCTAGAAGAACGTAGCTAACCATCTGATAAGATGTGTTTGCTGAGAGAAACAGCGGCTTCGAGGAAAGAGACCCAGCATCGCTGGCGTAGGCTCTCACATTTCGCGTTGTACGTCAGGTTAAGCCCACTGATCGGTGGACGGGCGTGAGATGAAACGCTTGTAGTTGTCATCATAGTGCGTATAAAACTAAATTAAGGCGCTGGAGATGTTAAAAGCTGTGGTTTGCGCCTGTTGATAGTGCAGATCTTTTTCTCCAAATAATTGGAGCCACGTTAGGAAGCGCGAGTTCTACGCCGGCAATGATTATGCGAAGAAAGTGAAGGTCGCCAACGCTTCCTGCTGATTGTACGATGACGTCACTCATCTAAAAGTGATGTTGTTTCAGGTGATTGAAGAACCATGCTATCGGTAAATATGGGGCCACAGCGATGCAATTTTGCAAAATATGCAAGAGTGAGGTGAGGAAGGAGGTCAGGGGAGGGTGTGCAGGAAGAAAATGGCTGAGTCTGCCTCCCAAATGCTCTTAAAACACTTTTATCCCCTTTTGAGTAGAAAACAAGAGACGAAAATGATAACAAAATATAGGAAACCGCATCACTGATCACATGGCACAATCCCACCTCTCCGCCCCCCCCCCCCAAATGAATAGGGAAACACGCGCCTTTAGACTGGTTTGTTAGGTATGTCTTTATCTGATAGTGGTATTGGTCTAGACTCAACCACCATCCAGTGTTTGATTGCTAACAAATGACACTTCGGTGAAAATGAACCCCGAAATCAAAAATGATCGATGAATATCCCGCATCGCGTTTCATTTGTTTTTGTGGTTTATCGCATTAAGAGATTTAGGCGGTTCCAAGTTTCGTCGGTGACAGACAATGCACTTTCCATCCCTAGTTTACTCTTTCCGGTTAGCTGCGGAGCATCAAACTTGACACGCATTTTCGTGGTCTTCACTTGATTATACTGCGTGGCTGGCATTCATGTCGCCTGATGTGTGTGTTTCGAACATTGGGGTACACAGGTCTCAAGTGTAGCCTACAATCATTTCATGTGCGGTTTTCCTTGTAATAGAAACACAAATGAGGTCAAAAATTGATGCATTGAGAATTTTGGCAGATCATTATTATCTTCTCATACATACATGCATGCCTACGCAGTATATGCATATGATGCCATAAAGTGCTCCCCATTTACTTAACTCGGAAATGGTAAAGGGTCAACACTGCCTGATCGTCGTCGGAGCGAAGTCCCAACAACTCGCTGCACAACAAGACGATTATAATCCTAATGTGGGACATCCAGTTATTTATTGCGGGTTGTCCCGGTCCCTGCTGAGATTAAAACGAGGTGGCGAACCGCCGTATTGTGGACACAGGCGGTTCCGACATGCCAGTACGCAACTATCTCGCGCTAAATTTGCCAGTTTATGTTGCACACCTATCTACTTTCCACACATTAACTATGGTACTATCGCCGACGATAATCACTCTCCATTAACACGCACCCAGCGGGCCGGCTGGATATCCTTCGCCCGGCTGTGGGAGGGGACCACCCACTGAGATCTCAGGAACTAAGAGAGCTAGAGACACCAAGTTCACAGGGTGTATTGCCCTGTTTGTGAACGCACTTAGTTCACAGCTTGAGGTTCCTAGGTCAAGATCTTCGGGTCATATAAGGTCGAATAAAGTCAGACTCCAGGTTGGTCTCCAAAAAGGCTCCCAGAACCTAGATACTTGTTCTAAGAAAAGGTCACATGCTTATTAGGGCCAGCGACCTTTTTTGATCTTTCGAAATTCATGTTAACCGAAATCATACTAGACTATTTGCATTTTACGTTTGAAAAAGCAACAAAGATTACGTTATGCAGTATGTTCCTAAAAAACAAAATGTTCACCTGGATCATTTGGGTTAGTAACCAATTCTGACCTTTAAGAAGTACGGGGAAGATGTGTAACTTTGTTCCTGTTTTCAATAAACTCTAAGTGAGCGCCAAAAACCACATAATACAGCACGCCCTGGAGTAATAAGCAGTTTGCTTTTTACATTGGTCTGAGATCGTTCCTGACCTTAGGTCAATCGAATCTGTTCATTTAATGGTTCTAAGCAGGTCTCTCAAAATGTATGGCTTCGTCCAACACTTCGTTGTTGTATCATATGAAACGATTCCCTAGAAGCGAACTTTGCTGAATCCATGGCCTGATTTTGACCTACCGTAGGCCAGCAACGTTACACAGTACATCTAACAAATTTACAAAACGATCGGTCGTTCAACTGTCAACAGTTATGCAAACTTTGGCGTGGCTACGCCGCCCCTTTGGGGAAATCAGTGCGGAAAAGTCTGGGGGGGGGGGGGGGCAAGGTGATCCCCACCCGAGCATGTTTTAGGCTGTAGATGTGTTTACAGATCCTTGGATCCGCATCGCCAGCAGATGGACAGGCTGTGCACGTGTTTATTTTTGTCCAGCGTACGCTGCACATATCCCATACTGTGTTCATTTCCCATCAAATTTCTTCGCAACAAAGTCTGTGACCGGGATACACTCACCACTGAACACTCCCATACATAACGCCACTGAACCTGCTTCTGTGCTTGTGAGCGAGCCCACAAGCAGTACTGTAAAGTCGACGTTCGCCTTGAGTAGGCAATCAAATAGGCCTTCACGGGTAAAATAATGTATTTCGGTGTCCTTCGTTTCGGGTTGCCATATGAGTGAAAGTCAGAGAGCACAAAAAGTATACAATCAAACAAAGCATAAGCAATAATCAGGAAAGTGGCATGTTTGCTCGCAAAGCCGACAGCGTGACACAAAACAAGTGGGGCCGAACGTGGCGAATTATTGATGTTCTCAAGGTGGAAACGGTGAGAGTAGTCATGGAGTAGGCGTATGGTCAACATGGCCTCAGGCCGTGTTTGTCGACTAGGCCCTCAATAGTATCCGTCATACGCTCCGTTGCGTCCGCCGTACCGGCTGTAGGGGAAGAACGCCTGCCGTAGCCGCCGTAGGCCCCGGGGCGCCCATTGTAGCCATTGTAAGATCCGAGGCGACGTCCGTACCCTCCGTAGGCTGCTGACGAACGACCGTATCCGCCATAACCGCCGAGGCCGCTGTTGCCGTAGTAGCCACCATATCCTTTATATCCCAATCCGTAGTTTCCGTAGCCGTTCAAGCTGCGCCCGTAACCGCGTCCGGAGCGGCTGTTGTAGTTCTGGCCGTAGTTGCCGTTGTAGCCGAGGGCCCGGTTGTCGTAGCCGCCGAAGCTGCGACCTCTGCGGAAGCCGTTCCTGAGGCAAGTATTCGTGCGTTAGTTCTGTTCTGATAATGTTCCACTGCTCAGAGCAAGGCCGTCTGGGTGCATGGCTAACGCCATTGGCGGGCAGAAGTGTCAAACAGTTATAAGCATTCTGTCATGACTGGTCCACACCTGGAAACAGCGTCGAGGCCGGCGTTTCGTTCCCACCATGCAGAACGACGACTAGCCACGGTGTGAAATATTTCACAGGCCGATACAGATGCTGTCCAACACATGTTCATGTGCCCTATTTTGGCAATCACTTCAGACATCATGATCCGTGAACACCAAAAACAGACGAGTGGGCTCGCGTTCCATAAATAAATTGCCCTTTTTATGCTAACGCTGTTATTTCGCTACTTTCCACGTTAGCGCTTATCTGACTGGTACTTAAATTCGTCCGGCCGCGTGGAAGAGACATCGGTTTTGAAATGCACGGAGAACAATATGGCATGCCCATCATACTTTATCAGGCTCATCTGACAGACCCGATTCTCATTACGGTTCATTCAAATCGAATGAGCCGTAACATTTGCTTTGAAAGAGTTTATGTTCTCCACCGTGCACCGATTTAACATTTTACCTCGTGTACATGATGCTGAGGCAATATCATCCGCAAAGCAAGAAGCTACAGCTATTTTAATAGCCTCAAAGACATTTCATGGTTCTGCTCCTTTTTATCGGATCTTTCAGGAATTCCAGATTTGGCACTAGGGACTTGGCACATATTTGGCACTTTGGCCGAATCAGGTAGGCGTGTGATAATGTTTGCGGGAAGGAGCAGATAACACTTCGAACCATATCTAATTTTGAGATAAACGCGATGCGAATGCACCAATGCAAGGTGTAAGTTGAGAAGAACTAGCAGCAAAGTACCTGCCGTGTCCTGCCAAAACGGGAGAGTACCCGCTGGCCTGGATCTCTTGGTCAGCCTCCTTGTCTTCGGCGGCGGCCGACAGAGCTACCAGCGCAGCCAGAAACAGACACAGCTTCATGGTTCTCGTCTGGATAGCTCTCTGAACACTGAAGGAGAGACACTGATGCCTCCCCATGAGCCTGCTCCCTCTTTATACTCTAAGCAAATGCTTGACCCGGCTGACCGCACGCAGCTGCACTCTGCAACACGGTGTAGACCTGGCGATTTGGAAAATTGGCTGGGAGAGTGAAGCGATAGCCTTGGCAGCACCCGCCTTCTCCGCGCTGAACAGTGCGTGGTGGAGGCTACTTGATATCGAATTCTCAGCCCTATTTTGATGTGAAAAACTGCTGTGATGTACTCCACAGTGATGTTTTAACACGAACCCGACGCCATTTAAAGTGGCCATGAGGTGACAGTAGCTTCCTCCTTCCTCCGATGACCTTTTAAACAGAAACAAATTAATTTGGCCTTTCAGAGGTCCGCGTGATGCGTTTTACTCCAGCGCTGAAAAGCCAATAGCTTGATTTACGATACGCATAAGATTTCTTAGCAAAGAAACTTATTATATGCTACTCGTCCGAATGCAATTTGATTGACGTATCGTTAATCGATTTATTTTGAATCAGACACAGGTCAGCTGATGAACCATAATTTATGCCACGTGCTAGCTTGCAAGAAATGTCCTACATAAGGCAGCATCACCCTACAAGTAGAAGAACCTAATGGCCCGTAAGATCCACTCCAGTTCCATCCTTCACCTCTGGAAGAAATTCCCGCAAACGGCGTGTGATAAATCGAGGTGCATGTTGTGTATGATAAAACACCTCACCGCCTTTTTATAAACTCTATTGGAAATATTGGACCTGGGTTCCCCGGTTGGAGGCTCGCCATTGATCTATTTAAAACCTGGGAGTAGCCGGCTTACGACGCCGGGCTCGCCGACTGGAAACACGGGACCAGTCTGTTAGCAAATTGTGCGTGATGGGACGAAGAGCGTCCACGTGAAGGTGCTAGAAAGTACTCAGCATGTGCTGGGGCTTTGCTTTACATTGCTTTAGCTTCACGGAGCTTTTAATGCTGTCGCTGGAAGCTGGGCTAAACAGGCTGGGCTTGTTGGTTCCGGACGTTGTAATTTCAACTAATGCTTTTGAAGAGAGCCAGCACACCTTCGGCCAATTTTGGTCGATTTTGCTGTTCTGACCGGCCAGTTGAAAGCAGCTCATTCTTTCCGCCACGGGTGCCACAGACAGGACAAGACTGGCCAACTTGTGTGGACATGCAGTTGAACATGTAGCTCTTTGCGCAGTCTGGTAGTCATGTGCTAAAACTTTTAACTGTAAAACAATTGTCGTAGTGCGTTAGAAATAAATTATGGTATCGAAGTTTTGAATTTTTGCCATGTTTGACATGATTTGTCGGCAATACCATGTAGTAGGTGCAAATATTTGAAAATGCGATGCATGCTCAGCGATATATGATCACCAGTGTACCATCTTGCACAAAATGAAACTTCAGACAAAACAAGAGGCAGCATGTTCTTCAAGATTACACTACGCCATCCCATAAGTCAGTTCTGAACACAGCTCCCTTAAAGGCTTGAAAGCGAGCTCCGAAGATTTTAGGAGCGATGTGTTAAAACACACACACACACACACACACACACACACACACACACACACACACACACACACACACACACACACACACACACACACACACACACACACACACACACACACACACACACACACACACACACACACACACAAACACACACACACACACACACACATATATATATATATATATATATATATATATATATATATATATATATATATACATATATATGTATATATACATGTATATACACACATACATGTGTGTGTATATATATATATATGTATATATATACATGTATATACACACATACATGTATATATATATATATATATATATATATATATATATATACATCAAATATAATAAAACATAAAAACAAACCATACAGAATTGATAGCACCAAAGGGTTTGCTAAGGCACGTCCGCGTTTCTCGCACTCGCCTGCTACTCATTCTGTGCCAAATTTGCGAAACGAATTATCTCAAACGTATCAAGATGTTTGGACATTGTAGGTTAGATTACAGCCCTAGGTTAAGTCATAGGTGAGCTTCATAGGATACACCTAACACTTGATATCACGCACACATATGCAGCTGGTTTCTTGACAGTGTTCCATTTTGCCATTCTCATTATTATCAATATTTGCCAACATTCGACACACACCGCAGCAGCACACAGCATGGGAAACGCACGAGACATGGTACGAAATTCGTAAATTTTCTTGCCCGAGATGTGCAAAGACAAATCGGGATCCAACAGTTAATGACTGTTCTCAAGGCCCTATGACAACAGGTTGGGGGGCAGGATATATACCAAATTATACTAGGTTTGAGACAATGCTGGCCTCGGACCACCTATATGCCAAATTTAGTCAATGTAAATGCAAGTGATGACATTTTAACACAATTTTGATGAGTTCTAATCACTGCCAAAGCATTATCACGTGATATCACGTAATTGTAAGATGGCACCAAGCAATGTTCTAAAACTGACAAATAAAACTGGAATTGATAAAACTGACAATAAAACTGACTAAAAACTGACAATTTTACAGCTCTTACGCAGTAGAGACGTTAAACAACACCTCGATGTGGTTTTGGTGAGGTTGCTTCACTAATGTTATATGGCCAAGAAATGAAGTGCGTCGTAAACAACTACGGAAGAAACAAACTCATTTAACGACCATCCCAACACCTTCTCACTTTTTTCTGGAAAAAGCCTGTGAAGAAATGTTTGCTGCACGAATAAGAAAGGAACAAAACCGGGATGTTCATTTATGTGTCGGAGCATGGGCGCCTCCCATGACCTGACCACGGAATATTTCCTTTAGCATTTTAGTTGAAATGATCCTTGGCAGTCTATCTTTTGCTGGTGACAGGTCGCAGGGGTATTGTTCGGAACTAGTTATGTTGCTATGATGTTTGGATCCCTGCTCTAAGGTCTGGGCAATGCCTATATGCAACACAAAGAAAAGGTGACAATTTCAGGTTCCAATTAAACTGCTCATTACCATACCTTTACTTTGAAATTTAGCATTAGTAAGAATCTAAAAAAGTTCTCTACAATCATGTCAGTGAGCTCACCCACCTTACATGTTTACAAATTTGGAAGGTACTGAGCTTGAAAAGATGGAAAGATACCGTCTAGTTCCCTGTTGCAAGACGGGAGATGAGAAAAGTGTGCGGCCACCCAACGTCATTGTTCACTCTTTACCAGGTGACAGAAAAGGAGCCGAAGGCTGGATCAAGGCTGCTAAGAGGGATCAAATCATTACCAACAAAAGCACTGGAGTTTTGCTCCCTTCACTTTTCTCCGGGAGATTATGTACGTGATCTGAAGTATGAGCTGCTCAACCCGGGGAAGGACCCCATGGCAAACCCTTCAGGACGTCTCAAAGTGGAGGCAAGACCTTTCCAGAACCTTGCGAGAGAGATACAGAAGGAGTAACATTAACATTTTTGTTTGTAGGTTTTATTGCAATACCTGCACCAGTAATCTGTTTTTTTAAGTGTATAGACTCGGCCGCAGGCCGCACGCGGTGCTGGCGGTCTCTGGCGGCCGCCGGCAGGAGAGAGCGCATTTTGCAGTGCTCTCTGCAACACTGCCAAACCTATTGCATGGGATGGGCGAATGGTTCTGGGGTGTGGCCGGTGATTTTTGCCCCTTCCATCAACTGTCAGCCTTTTGAACGATGGTAGCACTGCCGTTGTATTATACAGCATTACATTGTATCGAAGGGTGAAACACCATCTCGCTCTTTCCATTCATCAGCGAAGTGCGCCAGTCCCGCGTGTATTCGCGTCATGGGTGCCGAGATGTGACACGAAACGCGCAAACCCGTGGAAGAGAGCAAAATCCACCATTGAGCCCATGCCACGTGATACGTGTGACCTGCACCATTTCGCATGGTAAACCGTCACTCCTGTGTCGCTGCAACCCCCACCGGTGTC